CCCTTCTATTGATAATAAGCGGCTCATGTTCTTTATTACATATTCATAATATTAATATTTAACAGTTTCAATATTAGAGGGTAGTCGTGTGAATAGTAGAAGAAATGAAAATATAGAAAGACTTACTGTTTCCTGTTTTAATATAGACTGATATAATAAGATATGGAAGAATAATATCTATCATCCATTCCACACACACACAATTAGGGTTGCCAGATGTCACAGTTTTTGTACCGATCAGAAACAGTAAAGTATTCAATTGTCCTTATCTCAGTGTAAATTTGATATTTATGGTTTGTAATTATACACAACTCTTTTAAATATCACCTGAAGAATCGCATGACAAAGGCAAATCACACGGAACAGTGTTACCTCCTTCTCTGATACTTTTTCTTTAACCTAACCTATCATTGAGCAGAAATTGAGATTTGAAAAACTGCCCGTCCATAAAAATAAAATAAAAAAATGAAGAAGAGGGATGGTATCTAGGTAATACCATCCAACGCCTACAATTGAGCTACTCTAATTGAATACTGGAATTGACCTTCACATTATAACGCCTCCACAGCTGAAAAGGTGGGGCATGTTCTGTGATAGGATTCGCACCAATGAGCCTCAGGTTGCCAATCGAGCACTCCAACCACAAGGCATCGGCGAATGTATCCAGCATTCAGATACGGTAGCTAATCATAATAAACCTTAAATTCGATAATAAACCTTAGTCTTAAGCTTAGCCATCAACGCTATACTTCACTTTGTTCACAAGTTACACCTGATAGCTATTTTTTATAAGCAATATTCATATTCTGTTTTGTTTGTTTATATTAGCCCTCTGTCCACTCACGAATTCTGGGTTTTTTATATTCTGACTATCTTAAATCTATAGCAAGAATCATTCTTTCCATTCAATGTTTAAGTTTAAAAACATAGCTTATAAAATAACGACAACCACTTTATAGATGATTATCTGTCATCTTTCAAAATAACGACAACCACGTTAAAGATTGTCTGTCATCTTTCAATATAACGACAACCACTTTAATGGTTGTCTGTCATTTTTCAGGGTTTCTTCAGAAGAAGCATACAAAAACAGATTGAATACAGGTGCCTCCGTGATGCCAAGTGTCTGGTAATCCGTCTAAACCGGAACCGCTGTCAGTATTGCCGCTTCAAGAAGTGTCTTGCCGTGGGAATGTCCAAAGACTGTGAGTTCACACTTAAAGTAACTTCTTATAATTCCTCATACTTTTGGTATTCATTCTAAGTGACCCAAAGTGTTTTATTTTATGTGGTCTTTAGTTTTGTGTGTTTAGTGCAACAGTAAAACGTTTTCTAGCCTGATAATAATTTCGAGTCACAATCACGTGCTCTTTACTCTACTAATACGAAATAAGCTCTCACCGGCGTCTGGTATTTCCAGTACTTCGTAATCACCAAACAATTTACGTGTATATAACATTCAAGCTAGAGTTAAGGAACCAACTATATAAAGACGCGAAATGTCAATAACGTACAATCTGTCTACATTATACAACTTGACTATTCTCGTGGATTGCATGTTTACAGTATTTCATTAACTTGGTTCCTTTCTTGCATATTTCACATCTTTATTTGTTCCTTAACTCTAACTTAACTGTTTGTTTATTTGAGTTTTCGTCAGATGTCACTACTTTCTTTTTAATTAGTTTTCCACCATAATAATCTTGCTATTAATTATTATGTTCTTATTATTTCTTGTTTTACATAAAACCTGTTTTTCGGAACAAGATGACATATTTTATTAGCTGAACTGATAGGTAAAAAAGTATTTATTTGATTTTGTTTCATAAATACAATGGTATTTAAAGTATACATTTTAATTTATTCAAAGATGTATGGATAAGATTAAAAGTATTATTGAATATCTAGTGCTACAATTTTATTAGCAGTATTGTTACTAATCTTCATTTTATAGGGTGTTGAAGCGAAAATAAATCACATATTAACAGTATAGTAGTAGTAGCTTCAATACACTTTAGAATGTTGAAACCAGCCGTATTAACTAGTTCAAATTATTCTGTACAAGCCGATGTGCCCGTATGGTATTCACTTTTTGTTTACTTTATATTCTGGATTCTCAATAATTTTACCACTTTTTGAATGGCTGTTTCTATTAATAAGTAATAGATTTTACAATACTCCTTTTTATGTAATGTTAAGGTGTTTAGGTCTATTCCGAAAAATAATAATAGTGACATTTAGATCATTTAGAGCAATAGATGGCGATATAGTATTGTTTATACCTTATTTACCGTAATGTCAGTGTTTCCCAACTTACACCTAACATCGTCTATCTTCGCTAGCTGTACGATTTGGTCGAGTGCCAAAAAGATCGAGAGAACTTAATGAAGATGGTCGAGTTACTCAGGCTGAGGCTGACCAGTCGCAGAGAGAGTTAGAAAACAAACAGATTGCCATGTATGACGTCATTCTGACAATTTCTCAAGCTCATCACACCAGCTGTGCCTACACGGAAGAAAAAACTCGAAATCTAGTTCGGAAACCAGCAATATTTGTAACTATCTATAAGCTTAAACAAATCGTTGTTAAAGATGATTAAAAACTTTTTTTTATTGTACAAAATAACAATAACTCAAAGCAAGTTCGGGAGCCAGAAATATTTATAATATTACTTGGTTTTATATACATTTACTTGATTGAGTTATACTTTTATTTTATTTACCGTTATTGTAATGTTTAAAATACAAATGGACGAGTCATCATGTTCCACCTGGTTTTCCGTCCTCCACAGGACTACTTTCCTGAAACATCACGCTCTAGAACCTTCTCTTCCTGAGTGTGTGTTTTTTTGAGATACGAACTTAGTATGTTGAATATCAGGGCTTGGCCTGCAAGTAGTGGCTCATCTCTCGGTGTTGCTGAAGAATCAGTTCACTAAGAATTGTCACAGCTGAAATATGGTGGGGAGAATTTGAAGTGTTCTAATTGTCATTTCCTACTGGAGTCGAATTATTCTGTGACATTTGTCTTAACTTCCTTTTTGAAAGGTTTTCTTTTCTCTTTTTCACGATTACTTTTTGTGAATTTTCCTTGTAACTTCAGATCTGATGATGTAAAAAGTAAAAATTCACGAAACGTAATAAGGAAAAAGAAGACTTTTCAGAAATACGATAAGGCTAACTTTTTAGATATTGAACTATAGTGTTAGTTTAAGTGACTAAGACCTTATCCGTGACCTGTATCAACACAGTGGGCTAGTTCCCAAACATTTTTTTAATAATGTTTCTGGTAACTAAGCTTGTTCTTTGATATTTCACTCGTGCCATTTTTATTTGTTTTCTATTTGCGAGAATTATTACTAGTTGATATAATAAAAGTACGAAAAAGAAAAAAGCTTAATCTTTAAAACAAAACATTATTAATCGTTACCAAACTAATAGGTGCAGTGTTATCCAGGAGAATATTGCATAAAACGTCTATTTTTTACAGTAATTAATAATAAACAATAGAAGGAATAGTTAGTATCTGGTGAAGTCGTCAGGTATTAAATTTCTTTTCGTCCCACAGAGACTAGACGAGTTTCAAGCCACGACAACAGATGGTAAACAAAGTACAGCCGACAGCTTGGACCAAAAGATCGTTATGTGGCAGCAATTTGCTGTGTTGGCCACTCCCTCCATTCAAAGGGTAGTGGAGTTCGCAAAGCGTATCCCCAAATTTTTGGACTTGATTCAAGATGACCAACTAATCCTCATCAAATTAGGCTTCTTTGAAGTGTGGTTGATTCGCATCGCCAGAATGGTCAACACTGTAGACAACAGCGTGACATTCAGTGATGGTTGTTACATAACTCGCCAGCAGATGGAAGTTATGTATGATGTAGGTAACTTTAATAAGTTGATTTTGTGAAAAATGGAATGACAGAGCACGTTGTGAACTATTTTTAATTGTTGAGTGAGATGAAAAAACGTTAGAGTAAAGCTATGTCATTCGCTCTTGAAAAATATGTCGATTGGCATGGTAATGTTAAGTAAGGTTAAACGTGTTATAAGAAACCCCTAATTCTATACTAAAGATAATAAAAACGTTAGTAGAAGGATAATTTAAAAAAAACATAAAGTATTTATTTAAACTTTAAATATACTCTAAATTTAAAAAAATGGAACCTACAGTTTTACAAACAACGCATGTAAATTTCACACACATTCTAATTCAATAATATAATTTTGACAAAATTCGAAAACCTGTACTTCAGTAACATAACGTTGGGATAACTCCAACAAAATAACGTTGACACAAGTTCAACAACATAACATTGAAAAAACTACAACAATATAATATTGACATAACTCCAACAACATAACCTTGATACAACTTCAACAATGTGACTTTGACACAACTTCAACAATCTAATACTCCTAGTACAACATCAATAATGTAACCTTCTCACAACTTAAACAACGTTACCTTCACACAAATTAAGAAAAGAACCCAAAAGAGAAAAACACTAACTTCGAAAATGAATCACAAATATCTGTTTCATAACACATCAGTAACACTCCCTGATTAATTATAAGTCTGAAACTTTTAATAGAGCTTTAATATCTTGACGTCACTGAAATCCATAACTATCTAATAGTTAATGGCATAGTTAGGTTACTGAAAAACATAGGTACTTAATGATCACTAACGTACTGAAGTCACTGAGAGCCAAAGTAAGGTTAGTGAAAGTCATTGGTACTTAGCTAACAATAATATTTTCCGTCAATGAAAGCCAAATATATTGTTGTTAAGGTTTTACTTTTGTCAAAATGTTTACAAAACACTAAAAATATTTGCAAAACATGTCAGAATTTTCACAAAATAGTTTCAAAATGTTCACAAAACACTTATAAGAGTGTTTATAAAATTCTTTATCAGAATGTTATTCTTTCCAGCATGAATTTGTGAACACTGCGTTTAACTTCGTCATCTCTTTCAACAATCTGCAGTTGAATGACACCGAAATCGGGTTGTTCTCAGCTGTTGTATTGTTCACTTCCGGTAAGTAGATTATTTGATGTAACAAATCTTTAAAACACATATTCATCCTTACATCAAAGTATATATAGAATAAATACAAGGTAGTGAAGGTTTCAATTAATTTTTTTATTGCTTAATAGTTAGCAAACTTTGTTCGGGTAAGATTTACATATATTAAATTGACTGTAGTTATATCTTATTTACCGCCATCTATCAGTGAACTGATAAACTAAAATATGCTCTATACTTGGTTTTCTCGATGCTCATCGGGTTATAATTTTCTGTTTAAAATGCATGTGTATACTAAATTTAGGCTATTTCTTTATTAAATCACTAAGCCATAGGACCTATAGATAGAAAAACGATCACTCTAGTTAAACTAAAAGTAAGATAATGTTGCGTATCTGCTCGTTTGTTAATTTCCTTCAGCGATACAAGTCCTTTCTTAATTAAAACTAGTATATATTCTTTCTCGATACAATTTTGTAATACACAGAGTTTCCACAGTCACTTTAAACTTAACAACTTTTATAAACACAGGCTATAGATCACAGTGATTCACACACTTTACTTACGGTGCCTACTGTTTGCTTGACTCAGTTATCTCTCTCTATATCTATCTGTCTGTACAATTCTATCCTCGCTTTATTTGCCGGGCTTATATACTAAAAAAACAGGGCGCCTGGAACAAACTAGAGTTGCCAGGAAAATTCATGATCCTTCGAGAATCTCAGCACGTGTTACCAGCGTCACGTGACTTCCGCTGTCGTAACAATAAATAAATGATTTACATAACAAATACAAACTGCTGAAAAAAATATTTTAATTTGTAAAATATTTTCCACTTGTACCTTCCTTGTTTTGGATAGGTTCTGAACTGTTACTTTTTGTGTACCTAGAAAGGATGGGTATCTATGAAAACAAGAGTATTGACCAGCAGCAGGAACAGCTGATGGATGCTTTGAAACTCCAGGTGGGACGTAATCATCCTAGTGAACCCCATCTCTTCCCTTCTCTGATGATGAAGTTGTCAGAGCTTCGCTCTCTTGGGGAAAACCACATGAAACACCTTCAATGGTTTAGAGCAAACTGGGCAAGACTTAAACTCCCACCTCTTTTTGCTGAAATTTTTGACATACCAAAATGTGAAGAAGATTTGGTACAATAATGAAATAGGTAAGTCACGGTCTTTCTGTTGTTTTGACGTCGTAGATTGTACTGACAAACTGGCTGAAAAACAGATCTCATTTTATTGGAAATGCAATGTGTCGAACAGTTCCATTTTAAGCTTTATTAGGTGAAGCTGACACCAAACGAAGGTGACGTTAATGTAGCACTTATTCAGTAAACCTACAAGGTGAATGACGTACACGCACGCCTCCCCGTGTAATCAATGAAATTAATGTCGCGGATGATACGGGTACTCTTGCTGATGACTGATATTTTGTCTGTGTGTAAAATCATTAACACAACATTTGTCACTTCCTAAACTGCATAATAAAAAGTCCAAATTCTTTTCCAAGTTCTGTTTTTACAAAACTTGCATCCTAAAGGTCAATCATATTTAAAACTTGAGAAATGTTGTCATTAATCGTGCATCCGTTTACAGATAGTTATTATAATGGAACTAAAAATACTCCTAACTGGATTTTTTTGTTCCACATATCATGTATGACAGGTCCAGCCTAGAGCAAGACACTGACAAACCAAATTCTTGAAGAATCACAAACAGTAAAAAGCCTGAGGTCAGGATACTATTATAAAAGATAGAAAATAAAACCCTGGTGCCATGAGACTATCATAAAGGTACAGGCGCTATAAAACCTGAGATCAGGAGACTATTACAAGGGACAGACGGTGAAAACCCTCTGACCACAAGAGTATCACAACGAACAGATGGTAAGAACCCTTGGGCCAGGAGACTATCACAAGGGACAGACGAATAAAACCCTGGGATCAGGAGACTATTACAAGGGACAGACGGTGAAAACCTTCGAATCGAGTTACTATTACAAGGGACAGATGGTGAAACCCTCGGACCACAAGAGTATCACAACGAACAGATGGTAAGAACCCTTGGGCCAGGAGACTATCACAAGGGACAGACGAATAAAATCCTGGGATCAGGAGACTATTACAAGGGACAGACGGTGAAAACCTTCGAATCGAGTTACTATTACAAGGGACAGATGGTGAAAACCCTCGAACCACAAGAGTATCACAACGAACAGATGGTAAGAACCCTTGGGCCAGAAGAGTACTGTGTTTGCATTATAAGAAAATTGAGCGGTAAAGAAAAAAATGTGTTTCCGGTAATCAATCAGCTTGAATTTTTTTATACCATGTGTGCTCTTTCGGTGGATGGAGTCTTATCTTGGGTTTAATCTTTTTTATTGTAACTATTAAGAATATTTATTTCATTTACGAAGAAAATATATTATTTGTCTGTAACTTCTATTGACCCGTGACTGATATTTTCCTATTTTTGTTAAATGGTCAATAATGAACATTGTTTTCTCCACAAGGGAGACATTTTTATTGTAGTTTTTATTTTTGTGTATCTTTCTACACCAATAATATGCAAAATAAAACTTTTCAAGAAATTTTTGAAAACTAGAAAGGCTAAAGTACCTTTTTAAATACAAAATTAAGTGTCAAACCTTCTAATGTCTATACATCGTAGAAATACAACATAATGAATCATTGTAACTTTATCATATCTCAGTATATCACCTACACATTTAACCAAAGAAAATGTCCAGAATAGAAATATAGATGAAGATAGACTAAATCTTTAAAGAAGCCCAAATAAACTTCTAGTTTTAAGAATTTAAAAGAAAATTCCTATTCTTCCATCCCTTTCATTTCTTGTGAAGTGTTACAGTTTACACTATCATTCTCGAACTGAGGCAGATTAATAAAGTATGAACAGCTATTGTCAACAAACTTTGATTATTTTTTTAAAAACAACGTCAATAAAATTTACATTTACTTTATTATAAGATTATTCAAAACATATTTTATGTACGGTAGTAATTAATAGTAGAGATCGCCAAGATTTCCAAATAATTAACGCGCCGAAAAACCACCCTAAAGAATTCCTAAGCGAAAAACAGACCATTCAGAGTATTGGTTATGATATATTATGCGTATATTATACTAATAATACGCTAAAAAGGTCGCTAACATTTCCGGTATAACAATTCAAAAATCTCTAATACAGCAACTTTTGCGTCTACTACCTACCTACCTGATCACGTCAATCTTAATAAAACTGTCAAAAATAAGAGATTTTTTTCAGCTAAACTAAACATGGGTTGTGCATATAATTATATCGTGTAAAACATTCTTATGGCACATGGATGACAAATATTCAGTAAGTATTGCTGTCTGGAATTTGTGTACATTTTAAATATAATCAAAACACTATCCTTTCATCACCAACACACACTGCACCTGTTTAATCAGGTGTGTTAATACGCTTCAATAATGTGTTGACACTACTCAGTAGTGTGTTAATACACTTCTATAATGTGTTGACACTACTCAGTAGTGTGTTAATACACTTCAATAATGTGTTGATAGTACCCAGTAATTTGTTGACACTACTCACTAGTGTGTTAATACACTTCAATAATGTGTTGACACTACTCAGTAGTGTGTTAATACACTTCAATAATGTGTTGACACTACTCAATAGTGTGTTAATACACTTCAATAATGTGTTGACACTACTCAGTAGTGTGTTAATACATTTCAGTGATGTGGTGAGACTATTGAGTAGTATGTTAATACAATTCAGCAAAGTGTTGACACTATTCAGTAGTGTGTTAATACATTTCAGTAATGTGTTGACACTATTCTGTTGTGTGTTAATACATGTCAGTAAAGTGAATATATTAATCAGCTGTGTTTTTATACAACTTAGTAGTGTATTATTTAACACATTTCAATTGTGTGCTAAGAAACGTTTTTCTTGTACTTAACCTCAACAAACAAAGGTAAATATATCCAAGCAACAAGTTGTAATAGAACGACGAACTTTACTGAATCATACATTTATCTGTTTTTTTATCTTGAACACAACATTTTTCTGCTAATAATCAGCAGCTCTACATGATTATGTTATATTTTTTTTATAACAAGACTGATTTTATTACTTGCGATATACTTTATATCGGTATGATTTTCGAAACAAATATATAGCCAATAAATAATGTTCGTATACACTAAATGATGCACTCGGGCGAAGTCATGCATCAAAGTTCAATGATACAACCGACAGAAGTCATGCATAAAATTTAATGATACACCTAGACATAGTACTGAAAGTAAACATGGTGATAGATTATTTGATAGTTACATATGATAGGAAAGTATAAGGAAAATTCATCTTCCTCCCTAAAAAACTCTCATTTACAGATACACAATAAGCATCACATTTATAAAAAATTCAACAGAGTCGCATTTACATATAAATAATCAGTATTATATCTTCACATAAATCAAGACTATTACATTTACAGACATTTATTGATATAAAAACTATCACATTTACACAAATAGCATTACTTCTAAAGACTGGACTGATCAAAATTACTACGAAATTCAAACCATCGTAATTCTAAGAACTTATGAGTGAAAGAAGGAGGAATATAATAATAATACGTTAACCACATTGTATCTTCTATATCCAGTATCGACTAAGCTTTTCGTATAATACCGGGGCTCATCAGCCTGGCTGGATACGACAAACACAGTGGAAGTTGAGACGCGTTTTATATATGAACCACAACTTTTATGGTGTGAATTAGATTGAGTTAGTGAAGTGTTACCTTTTTATATGAGTCATTTACAAATCAAAATTATAGTAAGGATTAATAACGCAATATTGTTTACAGACCAGTATTAGAGTAAGGATTAATAACGCAATATTGTTTACAGACCAGTATTAGAGTAAGGATTAATAATACAATAATGTTTACAAATCAGAATTAGGGAAAGAATTAATAACATGGTATTATTTATAAATAAATTATATTATATATATATAAGTTCTTTTTGCCAATTGTCGAAATAAATAGCTTTTAATTATATTTCTTAATAGTATAAGTATATGCTATGTTGTTGTTAGGCTTAAGATTCTTCTACAGTAGGTGTCTGTGACTTGTTAGCGATAAATTCAACGATGAATAAACAGCTCACACTTTACTTGTTTTCAAATGATATATATATATATTCGGAACAAGTTAAGCGTATGTACAATAAAGTTTTTACAAAATAGAAATTACAGACATATCATAAACACTATCTATATATAGTTTTCTTGTTGTTGTCAAAAGTCCACTTAGGCCTATTCAATTACTTTAGAATTTCAGTTGACAAGTCGAACTATCTTCTCTATATTACTATCGTACTAGTATTCTGTGTCTGATTCAGTTACAGTTGTGGCGCAAGTTACCGTCATTCGTTTGGTCTTCTTTCTTCTGAAGATTCTCTGTTCCTTTTGTAACGTGTACCAAGGCTGATTCAATTACTTTAGATCCACGCTTTGACGGAATAAAATTATCCTTTTAATCTTTTTTTATACTGTTAGTTTCACTCGAATATACTATACGTTAGGCCTATCACATCTACGGTACTTAACTTCGCATAGCTATATTCTCTCTCTTCTTACCTGTCTAATACTGTCCGTCTGCTGCTTCCAGTTCGTCTCACGCTATTTATATCTTTATTACATAGTCGTCTGGCCACTTACTATATTCTCGACACCAATTAGTTATTAACAAAACCTTCTACAATCGTCTGCTTTAACTCTTATTATGATAAAATTTAAGAATAATAAAATATTCACTCACAAATCAAAATTAATCAATATTGTTTAGAAAATAGAATTAGGGTAAGAATTAATAACACGGTATTATTTACAAATTTTAATTAGGGTAAGAATTAATAACACGGTATTATTTACAAATTTTAATTAGGGTAAGAATTAATAACACAGTATTATTTAAAAGTCTGAATGAGTGTAAGGATTAATAACACAATATTGTTTACAAATCAGAATTAGGGAAAAAAATTAATAACACGGTATTATTGACACATCGGAATTAGGGAAAAGATTAATAACATATCATTGTTTACTTAATAAGCCTATCATTTTCACGATGAAAAGACATTTTTACGACGAAGTCAATCCTTTCTATTTCTCGTGCTCATAGAAATAACACGGTAAAATAAGTTGTGAACACGATTATTTAATAACAAGTAAATAATTAAGAGCAAATATTCTGGATATACGTTATCCAAATTATTGAGTAAGTAAACTTTACACTGTAGAGCGTTAAGGTGGTCAATTAATCGACAGTAACGCCATCTAAGCACAATGAAAGGTAGCATTTCCCATACTTTTTAAATCTGAATAAAATATACTTTGGTGAAGATGGTTTGATAGCAGTAGTAAAATTACTTGTTAATTGTAATCATATCTTTGTAGTAATGAGTGTTCTTTTCCTGTCCAACTTGGACGTGTGTTCCGTTTCGGGTCGTTACAGTTGTTGTTGCAATAACATCTCGGGTTTCATAACGATTGGTAGAGTTTGTGATGATTCCCACATTGCATATAGAACGTTTGAGGTGGCGTTTGTCGGCCAAGTATTGTTGGTGTTATTTGTTTTCAATGACTAACATTAATATTCTTAGATTTAGAAAAAAACGATCCAGGACTTTTTAAAATATCTTGTTAATTAAGGTAGCCACTTATATTATTCTAGCTATCCATACGTTTGCACTTTGAACATTATTAGTAAACCTTTAGGTAACGATTCTGTGTAATATAAGAAATAAGGAACTTTTAGTTCTTCTGCAATGTGCACCGTGAAGCTTAAAATGAAGTACTAAAATCCAACATATGAGAGAAACTTTTCATAATCAAACCTTTATTTTCCTGTGAATTGAGTCACTCATGCTTCTAAAGTATAAACCTAACACTTTAAAACATCAACTGTTAGTGACTTTGTGGCATCTATGAAATATATCATATTAATTCTTACTGAGTTTGTAGCAATTATGAAAGATGAAATATCCACGCTTACTGATTTTGTAGCAACCACAAAATAGACAATATCAGCTCCTACTGTCTTTGTAGCAGTCATAAAACATAAAATATCAACTCTTACTGAGTTTGAAGCAGCCAAGAAGCATAAAATATAACTCTTACTGACTTCGTAGCAGCTATGTAATAAAAAATATCAACTCTTACTGACTTTTTAGCAGCCGTGAATTACAAAATATCAATTCTTATTGACTTTGTAGCATCCACAAAATATAATATATCAAATCTTACTGTCTTTTAAACAGTCAAGAAATATAAAATATGAATTCTTACTGACTTTTTAGCAGCCATGAAACATATTATATCAAATCTTACTAATTTTGTAGCAGCTATGAAACATAAAATATTAACTCTTATTCTTTTGGGTTCAAAGAATTCGATTCCTAGTTTTACGGTTATAATTGATAGAATTCTACATAGAAAAATGACACAGTTATGAAAAAAATATATCAAATAATCATTAAAGGTTGTTATACCTTCTAGAAACCACTAACAAGAGCGGGTTTGATATCATAACAGAATGGTAAGAGTTCTGTAGGTTAGGTAACCTTACCCCCCCCCCCCCAATCAGCATCCAAAGATAATATGATGTCATTTCTTTCCTTTACTCCGTAGCTAACGATTGGTTATAAAATATCCAATCAGAAGCTGGCATGACGATGTCATCTCTTTCCTGTGTAAAAATAGAAACAGACTTCTGGGAAAGCTAATCAACGAAAGTTCAGCGCATGCGCCTTACATATCAACATTTCTCGTGTGTTGTTTAGTAGCTTGGTATAGCGAGAACGTTTGTTAGTTTTGGTTTTCATGAGCGTGTATAAAGACGTCGTGAAACCCGCCACCGGTTGTAGGACGAAATTAAATATTTTCGTTGACGCTCAGTAGTTTAAGTATATGAAGAAAACTATTTAATATCCATCACAAATCGTTATCGATATGAAATGTTCTGACCCCCAACTTCTCTTTGAACAGTTAGAAGAGTTGAATACTCTTCTATCGACATTAGACGAAACGTTTTATAGGTAAGTGGCAATCGGTCGTTGTTTGTTGTACGTAAAGTCAGAAGAAAGTTTCTTGTATTGAGATAAAGATTTACGTAAATTGTCTTCACAGTGTGGTTTATAAAGTTTTAGTTACAATTAGAAAATAAACTACAAATCAGTATAAATGTTGTTCCAAATCAACGGTTTTCTTTTTTTTTCGTGCACTTTTTCTCTCACTTCAAAGCTTTGTTTTTTACCATTAACACCTAGGTAAAAGCAGTAGTGGGAACCACATCTTTAATATAAACACTACTGCATATAGCGTGTTCCATATAAACAACGCTTTTGTAATTATAACCGCCAGCACTTGTCTTCATCAGTAGGAAATACAATATTCGACAGGTTATTTGTCGAAAGAGATTTTGTGAATGTGATTTACCAGTTTTGTCTTATCATACGTATTTCATTTCTGTTATCATGAACATCGTAAACATGCCATTTCACTTCCATACTAACACTCACACATACATCTTCAGATCCACACTTCTCTGGTCACCACGGCAACCATATCTCCTATACCAACACTTGCATATACCTTTTCAATATCAACACTTCAGACCGATAGGAGTCTACAGACGCATACTGTTGTTTCTACGAGCTCGTAAAATCTCTGTATAAAACTTGTGAACCAACCGTTTGGAGTTTACAGACCTGTTATGCTGTTTTCAAAGGCCGGTAAGGTATTTGCATAGTTTACTGACCGTTAGGAGTCTACTAACCTATAGAGTATTTTCAAAGGCCGGTAAGGTATTTGCATAGTTTACTGACCGTTAGGAGTCTACTAACCTATTGAGTATTTTCAAAGGCCGGTAAGGTATTTGCATAATTTACTGACCGTTAGGAGTCTACTAACCTATTGAGTATTTTCAAAGGCCGGTAAGGTATTTGCATAGTTTACTGACCGTTAGGAGTCTACTAACCTATTGAGTATTTTCAAAGGCCGGTAAGGTATTTGCATAGTTTACTGACCGTTAGGAGTCTACTAACCTATTGAGTATTTTCAAAGGC